TCGCTGCCGAAGGGACAGCGTTCCCACAGGTACCCCCATGGTATGTCCTCGCGAATTAAGAAGGGAATCCGGCTTCGCATCTACCCTCCGAACTCGACTACGGCCTGCAACGTAATTTTTGTCTGAATTAATCGTATCTCGAATACCTCGGAATCGTAAAATCAAAAGGTGTTTCGTCGAGCGTGGGCTGACACACGACCACAGGGATTTAAAAACGTGTCGTTCCTTTCTTACAGGTAAATACTGGTGTGAGTCACGACGGAGGCCGTGCTCCGTACTGTAACTCGCGAGGGCCTTGATATCGATCATTCGATTACGTGTCGTTCCGCAGAGCAAGGCCCCTGACTCGAGCTAAAATATCCGGTCTCCCGCTTCCGGTCCGCACGCGACTTCACGTGCAGAAGTCGCGTGGCATGATCGGGTCGCTCGCGCATGAGCGTGCGCCTTTACTTGCGGCGCGCGTCGATTCCAAGTCGCGACAACGGACGATGCCACCTCATTGTCGCGAGCTCCTTTTACTCTCGCACAGGGAAACGAGACGTAACCGAGAAGGGATCGATACAATTCTCCTACGGCCCCGCGACAAATATTTATTCATAATTCCGGGCCGATCGTCGCACCCGCTAGTCGAGTGGATTTGCGTCCGCTGGTCAGCCTATCTCCTGGACAAACAACCAACAGTTAGGGAGAATGCTCCCCGTCGCCATGCATATGATATACGACAGAGCCTCTCAAACTTTACCTTTCGTTTCGACAGGGTGCAGGAGTCTGGGAGTCTACGCGACCAAGACTGCATCATAGGAATGGCGTTCTCGTTCGACACCATCTTCTTGGATGCTGCAAAAGGAACATTCTTAATCACACTAGAATTGAATTCCTATCTTTGTAATAATAAACATAATTTCAGAGTACATGTATCCACGTTTTAATAATCTATCCAGAGCCTCCCAAACTTATCTTTCATTTTGACAGAGTGCAGAAGACTAGGAATCTACGCGAAAAATAAAGTTAAGGAGACTCGAAACCCATGTCGGAACCAACGTTGATTGTCTTGTCTACGTGACCAATCCTGCATCCTACGACTCGCATTCTCGTTCGTCACCATCTTCTTGGATGCGTGGATGCTGCAAAAGAAATATTCTTAATCGCACTAGAATTGAATTCCTATCTTTCCAACATAATTTCAAACTACATGTATTTATATTTGAACAATCTATCAACTCGTTTTAAAATAATAATAATTTTATATTCAACATTTTATTCGTTGACTCGTTTGAGAATCGCTGTTACGTACATCTCCCCAGTGCAAACACGCATAAAATTACGGGTCCGCGGCTGGTCGGGCCGAAGGAGACCAGTTCCGCGAGACGTTTTACTTGCGAAAACAATGAGCGAACTGTATCGCGAGGGGTGTCGATACATCGTGCATCAATTCGTCCCGCGGTCAGTCCCTCCCCCAATCGACCACTTGACCGAACGTCGAACAGTTGGCATCGCGGCACAATCGTTCGATAATTGGCAGATATTGTTCGGGACTCTTGATTCCGAAGCAAAGGGCATATGCACGTACGCGTTGACCATCGTCCTCCCTCGCCGTTGCTTTACGATTTGTTGCTCGTTCTCCGAACAATCAGAAATATGGATTTATCGACTATCTGGTTACGAAAGATTCGATGGTCAGTCGCGAATTGGTGACGGAAATATGAATCTATCACCGATCGCGTTACGTTGGCCAGCCTGGGACGATAATAGCGGTCATCGCTTTGTACGCTCGGTCCCTGTTTGCTCTCGTAAATTTCCGTGATCGTTCGATATACGACTTGGGTGTCGATAGCGACAATGAATGCGCGCCCATTTATGTATATAGAGTGATATGTAGATATGTAACAATTGAAAGTTCGAGAGGTTCTGTTTCAATTTTAACCGAATACTTGAATTTCGTTTATATAGTATAGGTCAATCGCAATGATTTTAACCTTTTAATAGTAATACAGAGCATATACCCATAAGCATCGTTTTCCTAACCTAACTTCCATTCTTCCTCCGTCCAATCCTTCCCGATCGAGCCTCGGCACGACCTGTCGAACATTTCGTCCTCTTTCGCTGCTTCGAGTTTACTGTACGAGTTTGGAGAGATTCCCGTGATTCCAACCTTTGGAAATCCAACGAGTCACAGTTTCCCGGCACCATCTGTGCAGATGATTCGCGCCCTTTTCGATCGGTCCCAATCAGTCAAAGCATTGGCTATCCTGTTAACTGCTGTCGACCTCAAATTACATCCTCATCGACGCTGACTCCACTAAAAACCTCTTCAGCCTGTTTTACATTGTACGCGAGGTTTAGAATAGTTTAGATAGTTCGTTGATTCGTTAGTGACATCTGTTGAATTAGTTGGCCACTAGTGCAACAAAGCAGCGACGTAACAGCTAAAGTAAAAATGAAGCCTATTATACGTTATGCTACCTATTAGATAGCTATCGGAAATATCGATTGAAACATTTCAGTTACGGAAAACAAAAGACAATCACCTACTGAAAGACATCAAACAAATGGTGTTCCACGCGGTTGAAACCGCGGGGCACATCTAGAGTTGCATACAAAAATGGAACTTTCTCAAAACGCTGAAGAGCCTCGCAGAGCATTGCATTTTCAACGCGAGAGGTTAAACGCAGTGGACAGCCTGATTTCCACGGGCTGCCGCGCGCGAACGAATGACTTATTGACCGACCTAGATGCGAACATTAGGCTATTTCCGGCGTTCCCACCGAAAAATATTCCCGTTTCTGTTCCGAGTGAAAAAAATTCGTCCGTTCACGGGAACGCAGCCATGCGAGACGAACCGTCCGAAACGAAGCCGCGATTTAAATGAATATATACGTTTGCGAAGTCGTGACGGGAATTGGCCGCACCCTAAAATTACGGCCCATTTAAAAATCACCCCAATCGTCGCCGGCGATTCGCCGCGGTTCGCAAACAATCGGGAACAAGTGCAGAACGTGAAACGCGGTGGAGAAACCGCGGTCGTATATTAAGCAAATTTTTTTAGGCGTGATTTTAAAAGGTGACAGCTGTCAAACCGATTCCACGGACCGGAACTGAGACGGAAGGACTCGTCGGGACGATTCGAGGGAGTCGAAACGCGATTCATTAAGCTGATACACATGTAACGCGAAACATGTGTTTTCTAACCTTGTTTCGAAGTCCATCTATCGATATGGATGAAGGATTACACTCGTTCTGTGTATATTAATGATGTATATTAACACGTTGGTCGCCACGTCACCCAGAAATGGGTGACAGGACTTTTCATTAAGAAACTAATGAGATTGATTCCAACAGTGAGGCGGTAATGAAAATAAATTTATATAGGATTTGTAAATTTAGAGAGGTTAAATGAGTAAATACAACGACAAATGTTAGATTATCTAATTTTGAACAGTCTCGAGACCAAATTTTAACTTCGCAAAAATGTTTACGAATTTCAATCTGGCAGTCAACGTGTTAACGTAATGTGTATATTAATATATTAATGTAATACGGATTACGCAGGGCCGACGGATGCTATGCACGGGGGCCCCGCGATTGAGGGGGCCCTAACATGATCGAGAATTAAAGAAACTCAAGAAAAAAAATCTCAAGAAATACTGTGTTCTTGCACATTGAACGAATTATTTCTAAATGTATTAAAATTGCATTAAAACTTCTCTTTACGTTGCCAGTTACTATAGCAAGTGCTGAGCGTTCTTTCAGCGAATTAAAATTAATAAAGAATTATCTTCGGTCAAGCATGTGCGCAGAACGTTTAAATGGACTTGCTATATTAAGCATCGAAAAAGAAATTGCAAAGAATTGTAATTTTTCTGAAGTAATTAATATATTAGCAAGAACGAATTCACACGTTAAATAAACATGCATTAGTAATGTATGTTCGTGTTTGTATTTTTTTTTTGTTTACTTTAGAAAAAATTTAGGGCCCCAAATGGTTTCTTACACCCAGGCCCGTTTATAGAGAAGGCCGGCTCTGGGATTACGTATAAACAAAGTTAACCCCTTAACCTACAACTAACGGCATAGGCCATGAGGCTCGAGGGCTAAGCGAGCTTGTTTAAGTTTTCGGGCCAAAATTCACGAACGTAAATCTTTAAGATTTAGAGGTTAAGGGGTTAACCAAATATGACGAATACCCCTCGCGGGGCACAGCATGTTCGATTCTACTTTCATTAAGAATGAAGTCATTTCGTATTTCGAGGAGCTTTCGTGGTGTATTGCAACATGACGGTTGGTTAACCAGCCTCGACACCCTTTCCATTGACATTGAAAAAACGATCGATCATGGAATAAAATTTTACAATATCACGACGCATTGTACGAATTAGGATGCGTTTGATCGATGACTTTCCAATCGATGTCTCGTATTGTGCGATTCTAAGGGGATTGGCTGGACCGTCAATTACATGTAACTTCGTTATACCTTTCATTCGTCTATCTACCCTCTTATCCCCATGGGAAATTCGGTTTATGTTATTAAACTCGATAAACGGAATACTTTTAATTGGTTCTTACGAGCAAGTGTTCTGCTGGTCAATTTATATTCACTTTAGTAATAACTTGCTTGTATTCGATATGTTACCGATGTCGATTCATATTAAATATAAAACTAATCTATAATATATAATATAATCTATAATACATATGCTCTGGAATGAGCATATTGCTAATAATTCCGTAGGAGGTCAATAGCATAATAAATAAAAAAAAAAATCTATAAATGTCGATTTCTTTTATGACTGGTATTTATCTCCAGGGTACCTTGCAGTTCACAGCATCGTGTCTCTTATTGTTAAATGTTTGTAGCGTTCGTTGGTCGAACAGGAACACTGCAATTTAAACAATAAAGATATTTTATACCATGAAAACTACTATCTGTATTCGTAGTTCATCTGGAGGTCGCTACCATCCACAAGACGACCATAATATCGACACATTCATAAACCTAACTTGACCCAACTCGAATTCTTTTTTATCGATAGCGCATGTTAACCTTCTCCGACTGCCATGTGCCTACGTTCCTAAGTATCGTAAATAACAAAACGTAGTTTGAAATATCAACATTCGCTATATTAATTTATTTTCACGAAATAATACTGTAAATGTAAATAAATAGAATGATGCATATTAAAATGTGTTACGAATGCGCCATAACCTTAACGCCTCTCCGAATATGCACACAAAGGGTAAGTTCGAAATAAACGTTTTATTCGAGTAACATTTTTACGCGATCGAACGAACAAGCTTCGAAAAGAGAAAATGGCAAACGAAACGGAAGACACGATTACTCACAAGACTCACAGAGAACGTAACGCTGGTCGCAAAGCGGAAAAGAAAAAAAATAAGAAACAACATGTTCAAGAATTAACGGACAAGCAGAAGAATCCTAAAGCGTTCACGTTTCACTCTGCTGTAAAGGCTGAGAGACAATTCAGACGTAAACAAGACATAGAAACTAAGAAACAACATATACCGCTTGTAGACAGAACTCCACTCGAACCGCCACCTGTTTTGGTTGCTGTTGTGGGACCCCCGAAGGTGGGAAAATCTTTGGTGATACAATGTCTCATCAAAAGTTATGTGAAACAGCCATTGGCCAACATAGTCGGTCCGGTTACCATTGTCTCTAGCAAAAAGAGGAGGGTTACATTTATGGAATGTAACAATGATATAAACAGTATGATAGATATAGCGAAAGTAGCAGACTTAGTATTGCTGCTAATAGATGCATCTTTTGGGTTCGAGATGGAGATCTTCGAGTTCTTAAACATATGTCAAGTTCATGGTATGCCCAGGATCATGGGTGTTTTGACACATTTAGATTTGATTAAAAATGCTAAACAACTAAAAAGAAGTAAGAAAACTCTAAAACAACGTTTTTGGACAGAAGTATACGCCGGAGCAAAATTATTTTATCTCTCAGGATTACTTCACGGAGAGTACCTACGTACAGAGGTCAAAAACTTGGGCAGATTTATATCCGTGATGAAGTTTAGACCTTTGACTTGGCGTAGCATGCATCCTTACATTCTTGCAGACAGAGTGGAGGATTTAACGTCTCCAGAATTAATCAGACAAAATCCGAAAATCGATAGAACGATAAGTTTATATGGGTATGTATGCTGTTTTTTTTTATATGCATTGTACTTTACACACGGTTACATAATAAATTTGTATTTGTAGGTATGTAAGAGGTATTCCCCTGAACAAAGAAACATCTGTACATATTCCTGGATGCGGAGACGTGAAAATCAAAGATGTCAGCTTCTTGCCAGATCCCTGCCCCTTACCAGAAGCATTAAAGAAGCGTGCCTTAGTAGAGAAAGAGCGACTAATCTATGCGCCATTCTCTGGTGTCGGTGGAATAGTTTACGACAAGGATGCCGTGTACGTCGAATTAGGAGGCAGTCACTCTCACAAAGAAGACGACACGGGTTTGGTCGGAGCTCTGATGGACACTCGAGAAACGCTCGATCAGAAATTGCAACACAGCGAATTACAATTGTTTAGCAACACTGCTCCAATAAAGTCGCAGGATGTGAATGAAAACTTCGGTAATTACGTGGGAGAAACCGTGATCGAGGATGGCAGAGTCAGGAGAAAAGTCGTCTTCCCCGATTCCGAAGAATCGTTAAAAATGTTCGACGATGGATCGGATCATGAAAATGACGAAGAATCGGAAGATGAAGACGATACCGAGGAAATCGAGAAAAAAGAAATAAAAGCTGAACGTACGATGGAAGACGATGACTCCGAGGACGAGAAATTAAAAGAAGAAAGCGAGGACGAAATCCAAGAAACCCACGAAGGAAAGGGCGTGAAGCGAAAAACTAAAAGTAAACAATTAGAAAACGCGAAACGTAAAAAGGGAAGCAGTTCGTCGAATGATTCAGAGTCCGAGGATAGCGATGCTGATATGGCAGAAGAGAAGTCTTTTGATTCCTCGAAGCGCAGTGACTCGGGAATATCGAATACAGAAGTTTATCATTCCATAAGCAAGGAATCTGATATTTTGATCAAGAATAAGATCACGGAAGCGCTTAGTTTATTAAACTCCGGTTCAAGCAGAAACAAAAGGTCGAACAGTGAGAGCGAGAGCTTCGACGAACTCAGCGACGAAGATTCACGAGCTAAATTAGAAATGGACGACGCGGAAGCTCACTCGTCGCGTGATTCTTTCGAGGAAGACGATGAGAATGAAGGAGACGAGAGCGAGGATGCCGAGGATGTCGCGGACGAATTGAAATGGAAGTCGAACTTAGCTGACAGAGCTAGGGACGCTTTCGAAGATCGTCAACGAAGCAATAAGAACCTAATGAAGCTCGTGTACGGGGTATTCGACAAAAGCAATCTCGTTCAAGACAAGGAAGATGAGAAACCACAGGAAGATAACGATATAGGCGGCATTTTCCGCGTGGTTCAAGAGAAAGAGAAACAAAAAATTCAAGAACGTGAACTGCAGAATCAAGAAGAATCTGTGTTCTTCGTAGGAGAGCCACGCGATTGGCTGGAAGAAGTGAACAAGGTACTAGTAACGAATCGCTTCGTAACGGGAAAATGGAAGGAGTCGGAAGACGCGGAGGAGCTTCTAAAGTTGGACGACATGGACGACGAGGATTTGTATGGAGACTTCGAAGACCTGGAAACTGGAGAAAAACACAAAGCAGAAGCACCGAAAGAATCGACGACCGACGAAATGGAGGAAAGGAAGAAGCTCGTAGAAAAGAAGATGAAATTGAAGGAACAATTCGATAAAGAGTACGACAATGGCGAGAACAAGACGTATTACGACGAGTTGAAGCAGGAGGTCGAGAGACAGGCGAATCTGAATAAATCGGAATTCGATGGTGTTGATGACGACGTGAGGGTTCAACTCGAAGGGTATCGTCCTGGCATGTATGTTCGCATTGAGATAGAATCCGTACCCTGCGAACTTATTACTCATCTAGATCCTACGTATCCTCTGATCATCGGTGGACTCTTACATGGCGAAGAGAATATAGGATACGTACAAACGCGAATCAAGAAACATCGATGGTATCCGAAGATCCTGAAGAGTAAGGATCCGTTGATACTCAGCGTGGGCTGGAGACGGTTCCAGACGCTCCCAATTTTTTCTAAGCTGGAGGATAATTTGAGGAGCAGAATGTTAAAGTATACACCGGAACACGTTGCTTGTATGTCGCATTTTTGGGGCCCCATCACTCCGCAAGGTACCGGAGTTTTGGCTGTTCAGGACGTCGCTACCAGAGTGCCAGGATTTCGAATAGCAGCGACAGGTGAGTCTCTCGAGCAAAATGTAATCTAATTAATGATTAGTAATTATAGAAAATATTGGGTACATGTTGTTTGTTCTGTGGTATCGTTACACAGGTTCCGTCGTCGAGATGGACAAGAGCACACAGATTGTCAAAAAGCTGAAACTCACCGGAGTCCCCTTGAAGATATACAAGAAGACTGCCTTCATCAAGGACATGTTTAACTCGTCTCTCGAAGTAGCGAAATTCGAGGGTGCCAGGATAAAGACTGTGTCGGGTATACGTGGTCAAATAAAGAAAGCGGTCTCGAAGCCTGAAGGATGTTTCCGCGCCACGTTCGAAGACAAGATACTTCTGAGCGACATCGTGTTCTGTCGAACCTGGTACAAAGTCGACGTCACGAAGTTCTACAATCCCGTAACGTCGCTCCTGTTGCCGCCAGAAGAAAAGAACCGTTGGCAAGGAATGAAGACAACTGGTCAGCTAAAAAGGGAAAAGAACATCCGTATGCCAGCTAATACGGATTCGATGTACACACCTATCGAGAGGGAGCCGAAAGTGTTCGGCCGTCTGTCCATTCCTCGAAGCTTGCAGAAAGAACTGCCGTACCGGGATAAGCCGAAATTAATGCCAACCGCTGGCAAACGCGTGCCCAGATTCAGGGAGGGCAGAGTGGCGGTGATACGCGAGCCAAAGGAACAGAAAGTAGCGAAGCTCATGCAAATGATCAAAACCAATTACGTTCACAAGCAACGGCAATTAAAAGAAGCTACCAAGCAGAGGATGGAGGCGTATCGAGCTCAGATCACCGCCGAAGAGAATCGAAAGCTCAAGAGGCAGAAGGAAATGAAGAAACACGTGTTCAGGGAACTTAGTAAGCTGGAAAAAAAGAAAAATAAGCGGTAATATATAATAAAATACGCCATGTTTTTATATTGTACAGTGACTCTGTTATGTTACGTATGTAAAATAAATTGCTTGATATTTACATAAACGCAACATAACCCCTGGCGCGTCGTTTGCATGGAAACGAGACTTGTCAAAATATCGGTTTTATTGCAAACATTTAGATAAGTTACAATATAATTATATATTATCAAAATATATTATTAGTCCGTACAAAATAACAACTTTATATGCAATGTTCTTACAATATAGCTTGCGATCCACGCCATGACGCGATGGTATGATGCCCCGTTGAATAATTGTCACCACCCTGAAATCAGTTAGCAAATGTATCTTCGATCTTTTCGTCTCGATAAACGAATCCCCAGCGGTGAAATTTGGCTGTTGCTGAAATCGTTATAACTTTACCTGCGTTAACATTAATAATTCATCTTGCGTGTCGACAATTTTAACGGGAAACGGAGAACCAGGTACCAGAACACCTGCCCAGCGTACTTCGACCCTATAATCACCCGGCTCCGTTGGATCGTATCGACAAAGTATTATCCGATCCTTTTGCGTTTCTCTTTGCATTTCTACTCTGAACGCTCCTTTGGGACCGCGAACTCTCACCGTGAGTTGACCAGCACCGGCGCCCCGGGTATCGCAAATAAAACGCGACTGAAACGTTGCTAATACTCCGTGCTCGATTCCTGGGCCGTATACTCGGACCTATCGTTGTATCAAGATATATATCACTATTCAATATGAATAAAGAGCATTAAAATGCTCGAAACGACTTACAAACCGTGAAACTCTTGAGAAATTTCAAATTACCTTCGAAGCATCCGGTGCACCGGAAATTCGCAACGTAAAAGGCGAGCCCGGGACATGTTCTCCTGCATACTTAATCGTTAACGCGTGACGTCCAGCTTCCTGAGGCTTTACGTTCAACGTGAACGTTGCATCGCCGTGATCGTACAATTCGCAGTAAGCCACTTTGTGCGGGCCAACGCAGTGTGCCGTTAATTCGCCTGGATATCGAACGACGTTTGTTTCAAAATACATAAACGAGCCACGAATCGAAATTTCCGTCTCTAACACGCTTACCAGGTCCTGCGCGTCTAGTGTCGATGAAACTTCGTATTTCTTGGCCGACTATACCGTTCTTCAGCCCATCTCCAGAGCAGACAACTCGCGAAGCATCAGCTGCACTCGTTACGTTGATTTGCAAGGGACAACCTTTTAGCTGCCTACCGTTCCACGACACCGTCATTAAGAGGGGGTCGGGGGTTAGCGGTATGTAACTTGCACGATAGACACTGTCCCCTGAAATTGAATACGGTAAGTCGAATTGGATAAAGATACTTCGGTCGCGAACTACTCACCTAAATGTTGTAACATTACGTTGAGCTCGTTAGTTGGTGAAAAAAGTTGGACTTTCGGTGTCCCGCTGCCAGCTTGAGAACCGTCTATCGTAAAACTGACTTCTTCTCCGCATTTTGCGGATGTTAAGCCTCTTCCTCTTAATAACACCCGACTCGTGTCTTGTACCGGTGGCTACGAATTAAAAAGAATACTTGAAGTCGCTGTAAGAAGAACTCGCGCTACTTTAATCAAATACCTCTAAATCTTGTACTATCGCTAGTTTCGGAGCTCCTGGGAATGGTATTCCGTTGAACAATATTTCTAAACGGTGCTCCCCGCCATTTATTTGTGGTGGAATGAGTTTCAGTCTATTGTTTGAAGTCATTTCGAAAGACAGCATTTGGTCGCCTATTTTCCCAGTGAGTTCGCCAGGTCCTGCATCGGCGGTATCGAAACTGATCTTATTCGATGGATGTAGCTTCAATCGTCCAATGTCGTCGCAGACAGCTGGCCAGCCACCTTGAAGACGTCGAATAATCATTTCTTCTTTTCTTTTTATTTTTTAAATCTATATCCCTCCTTGTTTTAACCACTACCTACCGATTACACGAAGATTTCGCGTATCTATTATCTTCGGATGCCAAGGAGATCCAGGAAGCTGTTGTCCAGCTGAAACGACTCTGATATCGAATACTCCGACCTCGGTGGGGACGTAAGACACGTTCCAAGTACCTGGATTCGCTCCTGCTTCGACAATCGCCTTCGAAACACTGTCTGGACCATCGACCTAACGAAAAACATAAGAGCAGTAGGATACAGAAGGATTCAAAGTAAACGGTATGGTACCTGAACTGCTGGAGGACTTCTCGTGCCAGTAACGATAAAATGCGCTGCTTTATCCGCGTGACCGCTTAATAAACCTTCGCCCTTTGCTCGAGCTTGTCCAGCTGCGTCAACGGTACATACCACTGGACTACCAGGAATGGGACATCCTCCTGCGCGTATATAATTATATAATATATAACCGATAATTCTCATTAATTATATACGCCTTAACCCTTTCTATCCCACGATTTCACAAAGCGTGCATCGATCTTACCGTACGTTATATTTATCATATAAGTGCCAGGTACGCTAGGAGAAAATTCCACCATCTCGGCTCCATCGTTTAGCGGAGTAACTTGCAACGGAAGCTCTTGACCCAGTGGACTCGTTGCCGTTACGTCCAAATCCGCCATTCCAGCATCTGTTTTCATTACTACAAGAGAGCGTTGCCGTGATTAACCTGCTTCCCTACTTTATGCATAACTATTTAACTGGCATACTTTTGAATGCGATATGATCGTGCACGGACACAGTCATTGGGCCTAATTCTTGTAATTTCACTTTGGAAACGTCGAAAGCTTGGCAGAAGAAAGGCGAACCCAGCACGGGCTTCGCGCCCTGCAGAACATCGATCTTGTATGTTCCTGACGAGACAAAACAGTTTTTGTAAACATAATTCTCCCTAAAATATATTTAAAATAATCAAAGAATAAAATGATAAAAATTCAAGACTAACCGATAGTGTTCGTTGTGAATTCAGCGAGCAAATTTCCATCTCGATGTTGATAGCATCGAACCGGAACCGCGTTACCTTGCGGTCCGCTGATTACGACATCGAATTCTTTCCCAGGGCGTCCTAATGTTTCGATCGTAAACGAAGTTACTTTTCCAACGCACGACTGGTACAATCCTAAGCCCGTCGCGGTCACTTCCCGCCCTCCAGTGGGACTACGAACAGTTACGTCCAATGGGCTGCCTAAAATAAAACGATACTAGTTAGGAAGAAATGAACCATGAAAAGAATGGATTTAAAATAGATGTCATACCCGAAATATGAACTTCGTTGTACTTTATATGAACCCTATGGGGAGCTGCTCGTGTCGGATGGAAAACTATTTCATAAAGGCCATTATCTCCTTCTCTAACTACACTGTCAACGTCTGCTCCAGCGGCGCGCACATTTACTGCCAGTTTCCCAGGCCCAGCTTCTTTGGATGCAACCACTGTAAAAAATTTTTATAATATTGTTCAAAATGAAATTATATAGATATGTGATAGTTTACCGTCGAAACGAATATCGAAGTTGTATTCACGTACCTATAATACTTCCAGGTCGATGGCAAACTACGTCTGACACTTCTTTGATCGTAACTTTCCCAGGATCGAAAGCTTGAAGCGTTTGAGAACTTATCATCTTGTGACCGTCACTAAAAATTACGCTGTAAGTTCCAACCTGTCGCGTTCGGATTTCTACTCGATATAAATTAGACGATAATTTCGTCAAAGTGCATGGGATAATTATACCGTCGGGTCCTGATCAAACATTCAATGTAACGTCACAATATAATATTTAGACAGAAGTAATACTTGAAATGAAACATTACCTGTAACTTCAGCGGATACAGGACCCTCTAAGCTGGGCATTTCTAAGTCCATGTACGCCGTATTGCCAACGCGGATCATCGATGGCCCATCTAACATGGTACTAACAACCGGGCACTTAAATGGACTCCCTAATGGATAATAACGTCGTTGACATTATTTTTCTCAATATTAATTACGACAAGGAAAAGACATCGCGAGTTACAGACCTGGTACATTGTCGTCGTTGAAACTGATGTTAACATAATGGGTACTAGTAGTTTGCGGCACGAACGTTACATCGTACAATCCACGAGCACAGGCGACTACTTCGGCTTTCACGGTATTATTTTCCGTGCTCACTACTAATTCTAACGTCCCTTCGCCAGCTTCTGCGGCGTCGACCGTAAAGGTTGTCGCTTGACCCAACAACGCTTCCGTAAGACCCGACACGTGAACCTGTATACATTTTTCGATAATGCTAACAAACTATTTTCTAACCTTTTCGCACAGTTAACAACGTACCTTCGTAACATCGTAAATATTGCACGCAAACGGGGATCCTTTCACGTGTTCGTTGTCCACTAAGACGCTGATGTTATGTCTACCCACTTCCATAGGCACGAAACTGATGTTGTATTTTCCATCTATAGGTTCTATCGTAATAGGGAGGGATATACTGGATGGCGGCATTACGATCACGTCGCAATTCGTCGAAGGAGCTTGTGGGTCCACCGTGAAGGAAATCAGCTGCTTCACGGCTCCCATTTTTAAATAGTGACCTATGATTGTCGCTTGACCAGCGCCAACTACTTTACAGCTGAACGGCGAACCTACGAATAAAATGTAAACGCTACAAGAAACGTTACATTTAAAACAAACTCATCGCGCACCTGGAACTGGTTCTCCGTTAAAACGGACGCTGAGGCTGTGCACAGCAGCTTCCTGTGGTTTGAAGTTAACTCTGAATTTCGCATTCCCTTCGCTTTGTACATAATTTGGTACGTTTTTACCGTTCACGGCGACAATGATTTCAAGATTACCAGCACCTGCTTGACTAGCGTTAACTAAAATTTTAAAAGACGCGCAAATTAATCGTACTCCGGATGTATCGAATAATTAAATACGAATTAATTAAATAATAGAACTTACTGCTGAAGAAAACTGGTTTCCCAACGACTCCACTATTTATGTCCGTCACCTTCACCTTATCCGCATTGTAAGCTTTTACTAAAAATGGGCTACCTTCTAC